GGGCCCACCTGTCCTGTCACCATGCCATCCTCTTCAACGCCACTCGAAACTCACTACCAACGTGAGACATCGTGACACGTCGAAGCTGTGCTCTACTGTGGCAGCCATGGTTAACAACATACATCATGACTGTTTGGGAGCGATAAGAAGAGGTGAACCCGGGTCCACCTGAGCTGGCCGCCGCCAGCTGTCAGCTGTCACTCAAGTCAGGTGCGGGTAGTACGAGACCCCCTGTACTGTCAGTAGTTGGCCGAGGCCGGAAATGGAACTTCTAGACGACCAGGATCTTCAAGCAACATGAGGTAGTCGCCGGAATCTACAGTAACAAAATGTCACCAGGAGAGAACTATAGAACTTCTTAATAGAAAAGTTTCATATAAAAATTAAATGATGTTAAATATTACACTATGTTAACTCGGAACAGTTAGTTCAACTTATAATTTTCCATCTGATAGTAAAGCACCTACACACCTTTCGGAAAGTGACTCTGGAACAGTAAATGTTGAAAACTAGAACTAGTGAAATAGAGAAATAAATCTAGAAAGTGAACATCTAGAAATTTTTTACTAGAAAATTACCCTGTCTCTAGATAAGTTGTATGAGTGAACTAGTTTGAGAACCATCTAGTAGGGTCTCTAGAAACGTGGATCAGTGGGGAACTTTATCTAGATTTTTCTAGATCCTAGAAACTGATATTTAAATAAATATTTTTTTTGTGGTTTACTGAACAATAGAGTGGGGTACACAGTCTGAAAAATGTGTTCACCCGCTGTTGTTGTGGACTTGAGTATGAACTCTGGGATATTAGGAGTTTTAGAAACTCATATCCAGTGAATTTTTGTTGGTTAGGAGACATGTCTGTGAAGTTGAGATCGATCAATCGACTTGAGAATGGTCCAGGACAGACCGAAATGTCGTCGTCCCTTCACCTTCTAGTGTGTGGTCTGGTCAACATGTCTGTGGACATTGATTTTTTTTAATAAAAATATTTTGTGTATTTTCTTTAGATTTTAAGGATCCAGATACTCTGTGGTGGGCAGATGCCACAGGTGTGGAGTGGAACACTAGGTCCCTGAAGGGTAGTGTTCTCTATTTGATTATTTTTTTATTTTTTAATGACATTGTTTATTTTTTTAATGTTTTTATTTTTATGTGATGTGATATGATGTGTTTGATCTTTATTCCAGGAGGAATACTGGGATAGCTGAGGGCTATCGGATGATTTTAGCTAATTGTATGTTGTTAGGTATGTATTTTTATATTGTTACTATATACTGACAAGTATAGGATGTTTGTCTTCCAGGTAGTTGGAAGGATATGAGGCTGCATTCATGCTGGACAGCCAGGATTATTGGGACGGTCTCAGTCCTCATGTTTTATGTATTATTGCTGTTATTTTGTTATGTATACATACATACTTGGGCACACCTTTTGGGGGTGCCATTATTGCTTTTGGAGGATTGTATGGAATTAGTTAGGATTAGATAATTATTTATGTTTTGTTTTGAGGCATTGGATCATTTATTGTTAAGTTAATATTTGTTTTTGGAGTTAATGGTTATGGTAGGGACGGATTTCAGGATAAGAAATGTGTGCTTTAAATTTCTTTAAACACAAATTTCTTAAAATCCGAGGAGGGGGAGTTATAATGATCTGGTGCTCAGTTCATGGCTCTTGCCTCTCCCCTTCTCCCCTCTCTCTCTTGTCTCCCCTTCCCTTTCCCCCATCTCCCCTTGCCGTCATTCGTCTCTCCCCTCCCATTTCTCACAGTCCACCTTCATTGGTCATATCCGTGAGTCAAGAGGTTCGCTCTTTGCCCTCTCCATTTCCCTCTCTACCCCCACTCGTTCCCTTCTCCTCCTGCCTTCGCCACTAACCATTTGACAGTTTTAAGAACAGTGACGAATTACCGTTATTCTCAAGTTTCGAGTGAGATATACGGCTGTGGTTTCCTGTGTAGCGTGGGATCGGTTCATGAGTCTACGGGAGTAAAACATAACGTTAAGGACAGGCCTATGTCACTTTGGGGTGGGGGTATGTCAGAGGTTTTGGCTGGCCTAAGAGTGACATTCTGTAGTCATTGATTGTGCAAAAGTGTAGAAACAAAGGGAAATTGAAGGGAAAAGAGTAGAAACAAGCGAAGTAGGGAAAGGGGTCATTACAATGGTCGCTTTCATTACCATTACAAGCTCAATTGACTTCGACCATGACAGGTAGTCAACCCCTTTACGTTAATCAATCACTTAAATAACGACGGCTCGTTAATTCATTACCACAACGTTAGTCGTCCTTCCGACAATTCCTCACCACTGCGTGAACTCACTGTGACTGCTGCTAATTACACAAATTAGCAAGAGGTGCTCAACTAGCTGTCGCACGGAAAGGCAACTGCACCCATAAATTTATGTTACTCATCAACAACATATCAGTGCCCTCATTAAACAATGATGTCCCCCAGTGACGCTGATGACTTTAATTCTCACGGAATCCTTCACAATACACAACGCATTACACCAAGGACACAACACTGTCAACAGTTCACAACACGGTGCAACTTTGCTGCCCACGGCAACTTGCAAAACACTTCCTTGGCAAGTAATGTCAAAATAATTCACGGCCCTAACATAACACAACAGAATAAAAAGATTTGGCCAAATATAATATAAAGTTATCAATTAACCACCTAGGGAAATCTCCCGTAACACACTACACTGCCGGAACTGGACTGCTCTGCTAAGATATCACATACACGGGACACAGAGCAATGCAATATAAATAAAATCCCTTTCCTTCATCCTTGGAGATACAGTAAAATAATATGTCAACACCTCACAACTGAATGTGTCTCTATGTCCGTACTCACATCTTCCCTTAAAGTTGGGCCCACTCCTCAACTTGCTTGACGTTAGAACAGGTGTAATTCACATTTCTCCACTTCCCATCACCTCACAGGTGTTAAAAGGGACAATGGCAGCACGGAACACTGGCTGCGAAGCCAGCTTCTGAGTTTTAACACACCAAAAATATAAACAGCACTCCTAAGTGACCAATCGGTCTCATACACACATCCATATGTGTTCCTCCCCCCCCCCGTACTTGCTGCTGCAGAAGGTAGTGAAATGGGCGTCCTCCCACTTCATTCACGTGGGCAGCTGGACCACGGGGTGGCTGGCATGGTGTCCAGACACACGGACCAGGGTGGGGGTGATACTCCCCTGGGGCCTAGGCACAGCAGGAGCGAGACACACGTGCGGTTTGTAGCCTCACACAGCTAAAATGGTACCACGCTCTCAACACGACTCAGACGAGACGGTACGTAGCTGTAGGACGCGGCACGTGAAAAAGGCAGAGTCCTTCACTGTTTACTGGTAATTCTGCGGAATTACGAATTCTAAGTTTCCAACAAAACACTGAAACCTTCACGAGTTCGTCTCTCACTGGTACCTTGTAACTAAGGTACGTTAGACGACGGATGTCACTTCCACACACTGATAAACAGGCCCCCTTAATTCACTTTCTCTGGCTGGCGTCCAACAATCAAGTGGGAACGGCGACGGCCCCAAAAGTATTATTACAGTATTATTTCGCCGACAACCCTCTCCACGAAACCGGATTCTTACTCCAACGGTCCCTGGATGACGGCACGACGATTGCGAGTGACTTTTGTGATGTTGAAGGTAGTATATCCGGTGCTCGGCCTAGCATGAAAACAACACAGCCTCTTTCAGCAACAGACACGGGTAAAACTGGGGTTTCCGCCAACTTGAGAGGTCATCCTCAAAAGCCGGCACCCCTCAGCTCTGGGCACCAATCACAATCATGCATCCTAGAGGCCTGGAGAGTCCACCAATCATGTTCTTCCAACACGACGCTCTCCTCTGGCACAAGGGCTCAAGGGTGGGGGGTCATCCTACAACCGTTACAACCCCCCCTCTCCAACTGAACTTGTACTAAAATTCACATGAAATCACCTCCCTGCTATAACTTTCTCTACAGACTTGCTACAACAACCACTAGCTACAACTAGCTTTAATGACTAGCACTCCTCAAGGGCTATCCGTAGACACCCAGCATGACTGAGAAGAGTTGTAATTCTCAATCTTGTGCTACAGTGCACACGCTTCTCTGCACACATTTCAGTGTACAAGGGAGCTGGAAAAATTCATCTCCTGACAATGGAGACTTGTTATTTCTCAAGGAGCTAATGAATAGTTGTCTTATAAGTGGTATTTGATGGAAATTAACGTAACGTAACGCTCACTGTTGTGTAAATTTAGTCTTGTGAATGATTTGTTTGCATTATTGCGTCGTCAGTGGGCACACCTGTGCTCAGGTTAATTCAGTATTCAGCCGCGTAGCAATTGACAGGAGTCGTTGCTATTTCAAGGTTGTTAAGTAACTGTTGTTAAAGTGCCACTGGATGGATATTAACGTAACGCAAACTCGTTGTTGCAATAGTTTAGTCTCTTTGTTAATAAACTTGTTATTGTTATAGAAAACGGTCTTTGATGGCAACCCTTCAACCATTCTTGTCCCACCCATGTTTTGTTTTGTTACGATTGTCTAGTAATATGATCTTTTTAATGAAGGCTGCTCTTGGGAAATTCAAGTCTCAATTCATAGCGCCACACATCAAATAGATATATTTGATATGAGAACCCATTGGTTGCTCTTTATTGGTTTTTAACAACTAGAAAGAGACAGCGGCCCAAGTGGACTGGTTTTCACCCCTTGTGGTGGAAGCCTGGAGGTTTGCTTCTGCTTTTCATATGGCCTCAGGCTTAAAGTAGAAGCAGTTCTAGTTTAAAGTTTAAAGCAGTTTAAAGCAAGTAAGCAGTTCTTTCTGTTTGGGGTCCACCTCCTTAGGGAGGCAAGCATAGGAAACAAATCTCACAGAAACATCACGTAAAAATTTGGAATCCATACACAAACTTATTCTATTCGTTACAAGAATACAATGATATAATTAATTAGTAGTAATTATCTTCGGAGTTACTTACCGGTTTCATTGTGTGTAATACAGTAGGTATTTAAGCCATATGTAAAACTCTTCTCATATTCATACAACTGGCCATTTGGAAGTAGATAGTAACGTTCACAGTCAAGGAAAATAATTGTTTTACAGTCAGGCACAATAGTAATAATCACTTCATCACTTGGAGCTTCGATTGGACTACCGCTTATGGTCTTGTAATTGTATGTAGATTTTTTTACATTAGTTGGCAGGCAGCGTGGGTTAGAATCCTTATTTAGTGCCTCTTGCTGACCACAACAGTTGCTCACACATGTTCCATCTCTGCATATCTGTTAAATTGAATCATTAATAGTTATATTGATAAAAATAAATATCATTGCAATTATTGTCTTATAGAAAATACATAATATTAATATTTTTCTGTAAATAAATAAAAAATTGAGATCAAATTCATAACTCTAAAACATATGCTTAACCTTATCATTGTTCGGACTCAAACAAAAATTAAATTTATAAATGAAAAAAAATTCATATGAGGTCTTGTAAAGATTCATTTTTATGACTTGTGACTGGTGAACATAGTAATGATGAAGATTGGTGCATTACACTATGGATGGGTGAACATGTCGCCATTTCACTAAGGAAGGATAAAGATGTCCCAACTACATTAGGAATGGGTCCAGACGTCACTTCTAAACTATAGATAGATTAATAATTATATTTATCACTTTGACGTAGCCAGGTCGTAAATTTACGACGTTTTTATTTCTAGGGGTTCCGTAGCCGAGTCGTAAATAGCCGCGCGATTTAAAAAAAACATTATAAAATACATTTCTTATTCGATCGACTTGGGTTAGTATGAAAATGTTTGCCATTAAATTTCCGTTTTCTCTAATAGGCACATGGCCTATTTGAAAGAACCGCATTGTATTGTAACTTAGTGGAGAGACTATTGAATTGTTGACACAACGAGGATAATCGCCCATTTCACACACTCTTGGTGTGGGCCGTGATCATGATTTTACATTTATATGCATATGTCTGTGTAGGGAATTTTATTGCGAGTTCAGTGCTATAAAATTTAACGCTGTAGGACTAATGTGGAGCTGACAACAAACAAAAGAACATGAACATTTTTTTGCTGTTTGGGCGTCACGGCGAGTGATCTACGTTTTTATTTATTTCATGGTGGGGATAGCTAATGCTTTGGTGACATTTTATACATATGATCTTGTAGAGAATTTTATTGCCAACACATTGATACCAAAATGAAATACGTAGCTTTAGAATTGGTGTCAGGAGAGTGAAAAGATTACACACTTTTTGGTGTTTACGCTCAAGAGCCCAAAACGCTACCTTGAGGTTACCTTGAGGTGCTTCCGGGGCTTAGCGTCCCCGCGGCCCGGTCGTCGACCAGGCGATCAACCGAGCCGCGTCCAACAGAATGTACTCGCAGCATACTCCAACAGTATGACGTATGAGTCACAGCCTGGTTGATCAGGTATCCTTTGGAGGTGCTTATCCAGTTCTCTCTTGAACACTGTGAGGGGTCGGCCAGTTATGCCCCTTATGTGTAGTGGAAGCGTGTTGAACAGTCTCGGACCTCTGTTGTTGATAGAGTTCTCTCTCAGAGTACCTGTTGCACCTCTGTTTTTCAACGGGGGTATTCTGCACATCCTGCCATGTCTACTGGTCTCATGTGATGTTATTTCTAGAGCCTGCGCTCTAGGGAGTACAGTTTTAGGCTCTTTAGTCGGTCCCAATAGTTTAGATGTTTTACTGAGTGGATTCTAGCAGTAAAGGATCTCTGCACGCTCTCCAGGTCAGCAATTTCTCCAGCTTTGAAAGGTGCTGTCATTGTGCAGCAGTACTCCACTCTAGAGAGCACATGCGTTTTGAAAAGTATCATCATCGGTATAGCATCTCTGGTGTGAAAAGTTCTTGTTATCCAACATGTCATTTTTCTTGCAGTTGTGACGGCTACTTTATTGTGTTCTTTAAAGGTAAGGTCTTCCGACATGAGTACACACAGATCCTTTACATTGCCTTTTCGTTCTATGTTATGATTTGCCTGAGTGTTGTACGTGGTTTCCGTTTTTATATTTTCATTTTTTCCATTGCGCATGAGCTGGAACTTATCTTCGTTAAACACCATATTATTTTCTGTAGCCATAGAACACCTGATCTACATCTGACTGGAGGTTCGCCGTGTCCTCTATGTTGCCTACTCTCACGCTGCGCTATTTTTTTTCACGAGTGCCGGGCGCGTTAAAGTGTTTTAAATTAATATCCATAGTTTACTACGGCTACTACCCTAGAGATGGGTGAAGGTGCCACCACTACTAGTGGGATGAATGAAGATGTCCCCGTTACACAAGGAATGGGTGAAGTTGTCCCCATTATACAGGGATGGGGAAATGTGTCCCCATTATACAGGGATGGGGAAATGTGTCCCTATTATACAGGGATGGGGAAATGTGTCCCCATTATACAGGGATGGGGAAATGTGTCCCCCCGTTTACAAGGTATAGATAAGTATGTTCCCAAAACACTGGGGATGGGAAAAGATGACTGGGGATGGGGAAAAACTGGGGAATGGGAAAAGATAAGATGGGTGGAGATGTCCCCACTAAAATAAGGGAAGTGTAAAGATCTCTCCACAACGCTGCATATATGTGTGTAATTGATGTTTGTATGTTTATTATGTGTGTTTGTGTTTAGTGTTTTTGTGTGAGTGTTTGTGTGTGCTTGGTATGTTTGTGTGT